ATAAGAAATGGCTGTCACTGTTAAAAATAACCTTTTGGTTACTTTGTAAGCACTTTTTTTTAGCAAAGTATCTAGACTTGTCAACATTTGTTCACAGCACTGTATTTCTGGGTCACAATAAAGCCCAATCAACCTATACATGTGATTTTGCTAGCTGTTGTACTGATTTCCCGTTTAGGCATGGCATTTGTGTTCCTTAAAAAAGAGGTATTACACTAAAAAAAGATACATGGTTTTTATTTTAAAAACATGTGACACACCTTCTAGGCATTTTAAAAATAAACTCTGCAGACATGATTCTTCCTTTGCCGGAACTGTCTGGCACCTGTATAATTCACACTGAAAGCTAATATAATTGCAGGGAGCTTTCTTCTCGTTACTGCCAACAAAGATAATGAGGCAGTTCGATATTGTCTGGTTTACTTACGTTATTATTGCGGATAATTTCTACTGTGGGTGGCTGCCCAACCACATGTTGAGGGACTAACTGATCAATGGGCTGCAGAACAAGAAGCAACAGCAGATAGGATGACCGCAACCTCTCAACCCCAAGCTCCAAGGCAAGATCATCAAAGCCTTGTTCCTGTTGCAGTAGAATATCGAACTTACCCAGTGACTGTGGGCTTTGGGAAAGACATGTTTTGATGTGTAAAAATCTAATCTGTTTTTTGGCATTGCCCTTGATGAAACACTACGTCAGATGCAGATGTCAATGTATTTTCTGGGAGACTCTGGTGATGGTGGTAGTATTGCCAGTCTTCACAAAATAATGCTGAGAAAGCGCACTTTGATTGCACCGGTCTTGATATGATTCATGTAGTGGTGCTGACCTACTCATGGGACTGCACACATGCTGTTCTTGGAAAATATACCATTTATCGTGCCAGAGCATATGTTGCAAGCTGCACAATTATTGTGCCTGCAACAGTGCGCCCTTTTGCAACAGCAAACTTTCTATCTATTCCATTCAAGAATAAACCTAGCAGTCCCATTTTAATTTTTTTTTTCTAGTCTGTCAGTCAAGAATATTTGAGCCGGATCTCAGACAACATATGTGTATTCCAAAATTGGCCTAACACATGTTATATTAGCTGTTTCTTTTAAGGTGCCGTGTGATCATTTTGAATTTCGCTGAATGAAGTTGAGCGCACTTCTGGCCTTTACAATCACATCATCCATATGAGCATTTCATGAACAGTTGGATGACAGTTTGACATCTAAATATTTATACATAGGTTTATTAATGGCGAAGTAATGTTTATATAATTCCGAGTTGCATTTCTTTTTTTGTAAAACAGATATGTATCAGTGATCCCCTCAGTTTTTACAAAAGTTCCTTTTCATGGGTGGCTAAACAATATTTTGACCGAAAAGATTTTGTATTATAAAACTTTGACAAAAAATAAATTCCGGTCAATCCTAGGAGGTACTGCCACATCCACCCTATAATCATTACTTTTATTGATATTCACCTTTTTGTCCTTCTGAAGGAGCATTTTGAAGGAAAAAAGTTCCCATTGGATCACGAAGTGATCCAGGCAGCTCTCTATTTGTTCAGGGACCTGCAAACAGAAATCTGATGTCGGAATACAAAAATGCATAGCCAAATGGAAAAACTATGTTGCAGTGAGAGGGGTCTACCGTAATATCTAGAGAGATGACCCACCCCGAAAGATAACCCACAACTACTTTTGGCAGGATTTGCTATTTGTCAGAAACACCGAAAGATATCCCACTTCTAGCAATTGTAGGGCTTTCGTCAATGGTGACCACGGCAGGAATGGAGTTACTCAGCCACGACGTGAAATTAGCGAACATAGCAGACTGGCAAAATTCGTAGGCCTTCCTTGCAATTACAAGTTTCGCAGGTCATAGAAGTTAAAACTAGCATTTTTTCTTTTTTAATTTTCTTTGATCGCACACCGAAAGTCAGCCTACTCTATATTTTCACCCGATTTGATCTCCCTCTTAGGTGGGCTATCTTTCGGTATATTACGGTACGTCAAAAAATAATGCAGGCAATTTAAATTTATTTCTCATAGTTTTCTATCCATATCTTGTCAAGAATCTAAATTTTTCACATTTTTGTTCTAAGTCTCTCCTTTCTACTACTCCTTCCCAGGTCCAATCCCTGCCACCAAAAGCTTAGGATTCTGAATAAAGGGAGACACGCCTTTCGGGGGATACACAAGTTCGCTAGGATATGAAACACACACTGTTTATTGTAGAATCACTTTTGTTGGCACATAAGGGTTATGCAGGAGAATTTATTTATGGCATAAACCACAAACCGAATGTTTATGCTGCGAGTTATAACTTATTGTATACATGGTACTCGGGCCACTTCCGGTCACCATGATAGGGAGCCGAGGACACTTCCGGTTCGGGGTGTTGTTTGCATGTTTTTAAAGGGCAACATCATCACTATGTTTCAAGTGTTCCATTATGAAACATCTTTTTTGTTATGTTTTGCCTGTCTACTGGCTTCTTGAAGTGCTAGAATGCTTTGCAATTGACTGTACAACTTTCCTGTGCCAGATTAACGCAAAATTAAGGACACCGCGAGTGTCCTTAATAAAGCTTTAATAAAGCTTTATTAAGGACACGAGACAACGAATCAGGGTGAATAATACCAGGATGAAGTAAATGACGAGACTCGGAATACAAATGAACAAAACAAAAATAGAAATGAGAGCGATGTGCACAGGAACAATTGACCCCGTGAGCGATGACGTCACAACATGGCCCTTCGCTCCAGACAGACCGTTGCTAGCGCCGTTGTAATAGACAAATGCATTGGGGCTCGGGGTAAGGTTAGGAATCGCCTAATAAAAAGTAAATAATTTTCTGTAAGCATAATGTCTCCTCAATATCTAATCATAAAGACTTTTTCAATCGTCTCACTACCATAAAGAGATGACAAAAGCCCCGAGTAAAGTTTCACAACCGGTTTTGCCTTGCTAGCAGACGATAGAATTGCTTCGCGGGCTCATTGGTACGCGACCGCGTTGAATAAGGTTGGTGACGATCCACGAAACTCCTCTTCTCGGGGTAAACTTTCTGTGGGATTTCTGGAAGCGAAGAGTGCCCGCGCACAGCTTTGGTCGACGCCCGAGGTGCACGAACGTCTTTGCGTTGAGCTCGCTTCCGTCAGATTTGAGAATGCGAAAACCCTGGGAAGCTGAATCACGTACGACGACGACGTGAAGTGTATCAAGGTAAGCCAGCACACGTTTCAAGGATTTCTGACAGCACAGTTGCTTCAGTGCACACCTGCGTGATCAACCGAACTGTCCGTAACAGATATAAATTGTCGCGGATGGATACGCATCGACAAGTAAAAAACAGAAAATCAAGATCTAATCGGCGAACTTGTGCCTAGAAACAAAAGAAAGGTTCAGCCTCGACGGCGGCAGCAGCGCGACGATGCGTCGGTGTGACGGCTGCCTGTGAGTCAACAAAGCCATGGTCGACTCCTGGCCTATCCTTCTATCTGTTTTCTATCTATCTTCTATATATCTATCTATGTATGTACCATCTATATATCAATCTAAATATGTACCTTCTATATGTCTATCTATGTATTTTCTATTTATCTACCTTATCCAGAATGCTCGTTGGTGAGCTACGGCGAGACTGATAGGCAAGGTCATTCTGACCTTATTTTTTACACTCGGGGTAAGAGTAAACTCAAATCTTCTGGATGCACGGGGAAGCGTTCCTTTTCAGTCATGCGCGCTTGAGGTCTTACTTAAAACTGGAAAATCAGCTGGATTTGTTCTCAGTGTGGTGATTACAAGGCAGGTACGAAACACACACCGATATTGCGAGCCTGAAAAACAAACTTTGGCTTCTCAAACTGCTCATTTTAGAGTCAAAACAGTTTTTCCTTCATTACAATCAAGTCACCTGCAAAATCAGAAGAAGGCCCCGACACTACTTTCAAATTATGTACTAGACAGATGCTTTTCTCGCTGTATTTTAGCAGGTCTCCATGCGTGTGATGATTTTTGGGCAGACACTATGCCGTTTCGCACAGAAATGCCATTTGTTATAAACGTGATTAGTTTTCTTAGGCCTGTCACGTTCCAAATAAATGCAAAATCAAAATCGCATCACTGTGGAAGCGATTCAAACTGTTGCAGACGGCATACTGCTGTCATTCCGTGTGCGTTCGTCGTGCGTTCGTCGTCTGCCACAGGCATTTGGAAGCGTCTCGAGGACCGGAAGTTGCCGTCTTAAATATTTTAGAAACAGCTGATTCTCGGCAAACCTCTGTGGTGGTAAGTGCGAAATCTAGGCGTCCTTCGTGTGTTATTTTTAGGTGTTTAAATTCCACGTCTGAGTTTTGACCGATCCATCTTTCAGGGCGAAATCCACTCCCATGTATTCGTCCATTACAACGCCCCTGGCAAAGGTTTGCTTGCAGCGGTGACGTCACACTTACGAGGTCAGTGAGCATAAAGCCGGAGTCGCACTGCTCATACGTCATACAAGCGGCGGTCTGCAAACACAAGTCACGGCAACATCCGTGGTTCGAATGTGCGCGCGTGTTAAGTTTCTCCTTGAACTCATTGCCACGCGGCATTCGAAGTACGAATCTCGCGGTGACTCGCGTTCGAATCTGTATGCAGACTGTCGTCTGTATGCTGCATAAGCAGTGTGACCCCGGCTACACCGTGCCCCGGCTTAAGGTTTCACTTGCTCGTTGTCTCTGAGCCCATGGCATTTTTCCAGGTCTAATTGTATTACGAGCTTCGAGATTCGCTGAGACACTTCTATTTTTCATTGTCATTGGCGGTTTTCGTGTTTCGCAAAAAAAATAAACTGTGAGACTTTTTTTGCATAGTTCTTTATGAAAACTAAGAATATTTTGCTAAATTCATAAATGTCCCAGCCCGTGTAGCACATTACTCTTCTTGTGGACGAGATCCCTCATGCTCTACACTCATTGGTCGTGTTGAAAATCCATGATGTGTCGATATACATTATACAGGAGGTACAAGGGTCACTCGAGGGTGACCGGAATTTTTATTCCTAGAAAGGAAACAAAAAAAGTCGACAAGACCGAAGTACATGACCATAACTTCTCTGCCATTGTTTTTGGCAGCTCCCTGATTCCCATGGCGTAGAGAGAATTGGGCTGCTTGACTGCAGTCGGACGAACGTGTCCATGCGGTTCGTTTGTCACGGGGGGTCGTCCTTTCCTAAACTGTTGACACCATTCTCACTCTTGTCAGTGAGAAATTTTGTTCCTTATGTCATGCTTACAGTATCCTCAAAATTTCAGTCGGTTTAACCTCGCCCAAATCTAATTATTCCTTGATGCCCCACAGCCGTATTGCTCGCCGCCATGATAGCGGGAACTGCTGCGATGTGGCAAATACGCCTATTCGGGCCCCGGATATTCAAGAAAGACTATACCCGTTGACGTCCTCCGAAAGTTTCATCATGCTAAACTTGTTCAGCGATTTCCCACGGGCAAAAGGCCTGATGAACCTTGAACGGCCCTTGTAGATTGTAGCTTTCGTTTTGGTCCGAATTTCCCTTCGTCACGATTTGTGGACGGTCCAGACGGTGCCCAGTGTGTCCCCAGACACGGCGAGCACCTTGTAGCCCATGACTTCCAGCTTGTTGAGCACGGAACACGGAGTGTCATCCACCTTGACCAGTGTACTGCGGAGACAAGGGTCGGTTTGAGTTAGTGTCCACGTGCAAAGATCAGTGACCTCGAGAAGAAATTTTGTTTGTGAGAATGTTCTATGCCAATGTCACTATAATGCCACGAACCCGTTTCCGACTGGCGTTTTTACTGCGTCCAAAGAAGGGTTCCTCGATTTCCGCCTGACGATGTCACACAAGCGTCACGTCGTCGACGGCCGCGAACTTGGGGGTGTTACAGCATCCAAGGTGGATGTGGCGCACGCCTGTTCTTCTGCAAGTTGCTTTCTATATTGACTGTCCACAGAAGCTTCGGTAGCCAAGAGTTGGGGCTCCACGACGACAGTGACACTCGCGTTCGCTGGTATTTTTTTCGGGAACTTCTGTATCGTCCATCACCAGTATCGCGACATCCGACAGCATAAGATGCCGGCTATGCCGTATGTTGCCACTTCGCGACCACTTTTGATGTATGGACGGGATAGGATCAATAAATACAGCAGTCGAAGACGCGTTCCAGGAATCGTAGCGTCACTAAATAGGCTTTTCACTTTGTCTAACGAATCCTACACCAATCCACGAGTTATATGTACAGTCGTGACCGAAGAATACGAACAGTTTAGTGCGTGCCGACGTGAGCATGCTTAAGCCTTCTGGTGGAACTTCGTGGTACTTCACCGGCGACGTTATTATGAGCGTTTCCTGCCGTGGCATTACCACCACTTTTGGCTACACGCAACGCGACACAAGCTGTTTTCGTAGTACACTCTTTAAAAAACCTAGTAGTATTTACTAGAGAAAAGCTAGTAACTGCTTTTCACATATGTTACAAGGTGCCTAGTGACCATATGTAGTAACGGTCAAGCTGGTAAAGGTTACTAGGTCAAGAACTTTGGAAACGGTTACTAATCAATCTAGTATCTTTCACCACCTTTAGCTCGTAACTGGCACTAACTCTCACAAGACCTAGTAACCGCTACCCGAACTCAAGTGGCGCTAGTCGATGTCAAATCTAATTGAAAAAAAGGTATTATCGCTGGGATATGCGATTTTTTTCACGCTGCTTATATACACATTTGCACATATGTTATGCATTTAACACCGACAAAGAATTAGAACACAGATAACATACACGCACAACACCCACGCGACGACACGCTAACCCAATCACTGGCCGCACGGCTACCCATGCGTCTTTTATACTAATGATTTGAAAGAAGTCGGTTAGTCAGTGACCACCTCGTCCGTGAACAATGTTACAAATATGGTGCTGCTTTCGCACCAATGTTGTTCTCCAATCTTGTTGCTAAACATTCCAAGGAATGTATCTCTACTAAAAGGTAACGGTACACACAGCGTAATGTTTGCGATAGCCTATAAAATAGCGTCCCCATATAGGTTTCCAGAATCTATGTTCTCACTTACCCGCATAGCAGCCGCAGTTACTACCTGTCGCGCGTTTGAGGAAGTAAATGTTTAGTAGAAAGGCAGTAACCGTCAGAAAAATGTAGTTACTGCTGCAATAACTACATTTCTGGCGGTCTTTAGTCTTTATTTCAAGAGCCCTTTCTTCACCCACAGACACACACACAGATTCTATTTAATGTAATACAATCCTGAAATGCATACAGGCAACCAAGTGCTCCAAACTCCTATTACGTAGCTGCTCGAGCCTGCTGCAAAACGTGTAATAATCCGACTTACTACAAGTAGGACAACCGATCTCTTGCGAATTAAAACATGAAAAAAGGCATAGCTTTCGTCCGTTGACAAACTGACATACTGATGACATTATGATGGAGGCGAAGACAACGTTTAGTGAGTTATTGCCTACCTCCCCACAGACATATGGTCGAAGAAATTAGACAATAACACTCGATATATGGGAAAAATCTTTGTTTCGAAGCAGCTTCCCAAGTTGATGGTTCAATGTTAAGTAGAGTTAGAGTTTCAAAAGCAAAAAGTTCTGACTAAAATGAAAATGAAAAAAAAAGTGCATTTCTTATGCACCGTGATAAGGGTACAAAATGAAAGATGAACAAATTAAATAACTGTATACGTTATTTCGGTGTCAATTAACTGGCTCGCAATGGAGCTCTTCTTGCAACAAGTTTCGTTCACACGGCTTGGTTCTTTACCTCATTCGGCAAAACGCAGCAAATGGGTCGTAAAGGTGTCGGAGCCTTAATTTCGAACAAGAATGTTTTCATGCTGCGAGGCGCAAACCTGGGCAATTCCCGTGACATCCAATTTGTCAGTCATTGGTTTTTCACTTAAAGTTTCCTACTTATAGTGTTTTTGTAGAAGTGCACCAATCTAAAGACCCCGTTCGAGAAGACGCGAGCGAAATTGGATGTTGTTGTACAATTGCCTTCGTAGAGTAATCTATCGCCATGAACTGTCCTCTTTCAATCTTCACCTACCAAGGCGAGTTTTGCAACTTCCTTGTACCAAATCATCTCCACTGGCCCCATGACCCGCATACAACACTTGTATAACACCCTCGGTGCAGCGGGTGTTGGCGCTTTTAATTCGTTATTTTTTACAATGTATCTTCTGTTCGTGAGCATAGAAAATTAAAAAAAAAATGAATGAATGATTGAATTCTTATTGTTTCTGGGCACTTTAATGCAAGATTGCTATTTTTATTCTTATTCGTGACTGCGCATACCTCGAAGAAGTTGGTGGTTTGAGATAATGCACTTACCGCTTCGAAAACACGGGCTTGTTAACTTTCCCGCCAAGCTCCTTCAACAAAGCTGGGTCCTGGCTTCCGTCAAGGTACGTTGGAGCCTAAAAAAGTTCACAATGACCTCATAAAATGTCGGTGTTATCAAAGTGAAGTCCACGAAAGAAATGGTCCCTTAATAGATAAAACAAAAGAAAAAATTTGATGGAAACTTTGAGCTCGTCACAATGAGTGCTGGACGGTGTAAATCAAATGATAAGCAACAAAATGCAGGAGAGCAATTCTAGAGTCAGACTATACAGACAGATAATAAGTTACGCTTCAAACCAGTCTTGTAGACGTTACTCGAAAAAAAAATGTAATCGATACTCTTACTCTCAGTTAAAAAGTATTCAACAATATCACTCGATTACTTAAAAAAATTAACTGTTTTTTTTTTTTTACTAAGTAACCATTACTTTACCGATTGCTTCGCCATTTTCCAAATGAAATATTCTTCTGCCGATTTAGAAACGGGTCTTTCGTACTGTTCGTTATTGAATCACCGAATTGTAAACTACGTCGAATCTCGCTAATTCAAACTCTCTTAATTCAAACTTCTGGATAATTCAAACTTACATGCAGGTCCCACCCTATGCATCTCTATGGGGGGAAACGCCCGGCAATTCAATCTTTGCTTTATTAAAATACATTTTCTGTCCCCCTCGAGTTCCAATTAACGAGAAATCTACTAATTCTGATAAACCGTCCTCCCGTCGGAGACTCTGTTCTAGGATCCCTTGCTAGGAAACTCCGAGAAACATAGGGGGTTATTAAAAAGGGGAGGGAAAAAGGAGTAACGGTCAGAAGTAATTTTTATTGCTCTTCCAAAAGTAGTCAGAGTTCTCTCGCGATCACTTCTCAATATGTGTACTCAAATTATTAAAAATTACTCCAAAAAATAACTGATCCCAAGTAGTTTAATTACTTGCATATGATGAGTGCCGTACAAGTCTGCTTCGAAAAACGATAGTTGAGCCATCCTGGTGTGCTCAAAATCATGGCTGCAAATTATATGAATCTTTAAATTGCGGGAGACACTTTTCTGTGATTCCGAGATGTTAGAAAGGGTCCGAGATATATAAAAACGATATCGCCTGAGTTTCCTGATGCCGTATATAGAGCACAGAAAATCTCATCGGCGATTGGATTGTCAGTTGCGCCCTCTGTGTACAAAAAAAAAACAAAAAAAAAAAAAACATCTAACTGGGGACATTTGCAAGAAGCTTGGGAATACGGAGCGTCGATCAAAACTCTGAGCCAGACAGGTACAAATTACCGGGAAGAAAAGTAACTAAATATCTAAGCATTCTTACTCGTTAGTGGTATTTAAAAGGTACGTGTTACTTCAGCTTAAAAAAAACAGTAGCGGGTTACGTCATCTTTATTGCGATTTATTTTCTTTTTTTTTTTCTTTTAACCGGTAGCAACAATCGTATATTGTGTCGTCATACTGATGGTGACGCCAATAAATCAGTTTGCTCTCATACTTTGTGTGCATTTTTTATTGTCTCTCTGGAACTTCCCAAAGCCACAGGCGCGAGCTGGGGTGAACACCGAAGATAACTTGCGCTGTCCACATCGTCCTCCAGAAGTAACTAATAGACCGCCATGACTTTACTTGGAGGGAGGCAGGCGGCAGTTCTCAAGACGTCTCGTGCCGTGTCATTTGCCCTGAACGCGCAGTGCTTCATCGAGGTTGTCAAACGCGCAAAAAGACTGAAGTTCCCTCGATGCATTGCGGCAGCGGCGGCGTAAGGAAACTGGCTGGTGAGATCGATCTATTGCCATTACTCGCTCGTTACCAACGTAACTCGATTGACAAGTGCTGATTGTTGGGCAAGTTGGTATGGTACGTTAGAAAACATGATTGCACTTGGAGACAGGGACAAAGGAAGAACAGACACCACAGAGCGCTTACTTGATCACCTTAGTTGTGGAAATCTGGCGGACGGGGTACCCTTCCGCCCCCCTCACTCATTTCAGTCCGCCTCCCGTCGTTTGAAGCGCCATCTAGATTTTCGTTTCATAATTCTGTGTGTACCATAGAGCAGAGCCGTATATGTAGAGAGTTTGGCCATTCGTTGGGAAGTATAGGAGACAAATGAAGCGGCGCCATTGGCCGAAAGCGGGCTGGGCGTGTTCCAGGGCGTCTTCAGAAATTCGAATGCGACCAACCAGAAGCCGGAAATAATACCCTGGCGGTGGTCGCGAGAAATAAACCTGATAACTGCATTGGAGTAACTCTCGATGGCTGAAAATATGGTACACGTGATGTTTCAATCACACTCATCTAAAATGATGGTGGAAGAGGGCGACTAGCGGAAAGATCGACATAATCCTTACGCCAAACGCCGAGTGCCGGGAATCCGCCGTCAGAGCGGTCACACTCCGTCCGCGCCAAACAGAGTTGAGCGGCGCATTCGTTGCTTACGTCTTTCTGCATGATCATGATGAAACAACACGTGAACCCTATTTTCAACCACAAAGAGTTACTACACTTCACTCTTACGCACTTATTAAAACCATATACGAACAGAGACCTTCGATGATCGATCGGCTCAGAACTGTTTCTCGCTAGCACCGCTAGGGGATTCTTTTCGGCTTCTGGTTGGTCAAGAGAGCATGCCAAGCCCTCTTTCCGAGTCTGCCACACGCCCTGGCTCTGCCCGCGCCTCCCATTGACCAAACTCTCTACATATACGGCTCTGCCATAGAGTACAATGGAACGCCATCTAGACGCTGTGCTTCGAAACGCACGTGTTCCATAGAATACAGTGCAGTTACCATAGCAGCCGTCCGGCGCATCGAGCGACGGGATGCGAGCCGTGGGGAGAGAGGGGCTTACTGCTCGTGCAACCACAGCGTCTATGAGCACTTCTGTAACTAAGCTAATCTAACAACGTTGCTCGCTACTCTAAAACGAAACTAACGAAAATACGTCACTTGTTCCTTTTTTTTATCAACATAACCGTTACAACATAACCGTTACGTGCAAGCAACGCGAAACAAGATACGGCATGACGAAACTCGCGACGAAACTCGCTACGAAACTCTTATTCCGTATTCCGCTCAGTGTCTCGGCTGTTCGTCACGCGATCCGACAAATCCGAACATAATTCAATGGCACACGTTCGGTGCAAAACTTACCGCACCAGGGACCTGGCTCCAAACGAGGAGGTAGGGCATGACGCGAGTTTGGAACTGTACGCCGACTCGCCACGCAGAATGTCCGAAAAACAACACCAATGACGGACGCGAATGGCGGGCGACTTGTGTGGCGGCTCGGCGGAGAGAACGACCACGGGGGAAAAACCAACCGCGGAAATTACGCGCTCCACGGCGGCGAAGGTGTGTCTTTGCATTTCCGCGGCGCAATCAGTGAACGGAGGTGAGCCCCGCTCCGCATCGAAGACAAAACCTGTCTGTGACGTCATCGTTAGTGTGGCCACCTGCCCGCCGCCAAGCGGCAAACAAGCCAAAACTCGGCGAGAGTCGCCGCAAAGCGGCAGTGGCGTCCGTTTCGCGTCACGCGTGCAAACATCACACAGGTTGTGAGAATCTGCGAGATGCGCTGGCGGCGACGCTGACGCTAAGTAGACGGCGCTGCGTGGATCCACGAGCGATGACGCTTGAGGGGGCAACCGCGCCGGCCTCGTCTTCAAGGCGGCGCTGCGCAGCGGCGCGGAATCGACCTTGAGTCGTGAAAGGTGCGGCGAGGGAAGCGAGCAGCGCGCGTACCGGCACGTGTCCGTCTAATCACTACTGCGTGATGCACGTTGAAAACCCCGGGTTAGCGGTTGTACTGCAATGGCTAAATTTCTCATCCACAACTAAGCGACCGGTCGCCCGTTGAGGCCCAACAAACCAACAAAGCGAGCCAATTTCTTAACACGCGAGAATGCCCGTGTCGCCGCAAAGCCGAAATGAACTTGTGCCCGCGTTACTTAAAAAAAAGAAAAATGTAATGAACATTAGAATGACAAAGGAGCACAGCTTTAAATTTCAGGAATTACCGTTACTAATCGCTTCACTAAAAAAGGTAGTTTATTGTTTTGCTCGTAACGTTACAAGTTCAATTTTTTCACGTTGCTGGATACTTCTGAAGAAATAAATAAAAATAGGATGTTTTCACAAATGTCACATTTCTACTGCTTTCACTATCTCACATATTGCCACGTCTAAGTATGAAGTGGCAAGACCACGAATACAGTAGAGGTCCTGCGACGAGTTCGCGGATCGTGCTTTGGTTTTGAGCTCCTGAGACTCCACCAAAAGTATATGATATATGGAGATCATCGAAGGATGGAAGGTGAGAGCGCAGATTTGTGCGGAGCTTTGTTTGCCCTTCCGTTCTTTTACTGTTTACACACACATTCCGTCTCTCTCTCTCTCACTCACCCTCTCTCCCCCTTCCCCAAGAGACTTTCGGTCGCTCCGTATCGGCATGCCTTCCGAGGTTGTTGACGACAAAATTCGTGGGACGATGAAGTTCGACAGAAATCACGAAGCTGGGAATTTGGCCATTTGTAGCCAATCGAAGCCAATCTGGTCAAAACCAGATGCTGCTAGCCAATGATAGCTACCTGAAGCTGACGCCGTATTTAAGTACACGGGGAGTGCAAACTTGCAATATTAAGTAACCAATAGTCATTAATAGCCATTTAAATTTCCAATCTAGTGAGTAAGAGGAGTGCAGTCAGTAATAGTTACCTAAAGCCAATCATATACATACGAGTACAAATAGTAAATAATTGACTAGCGTAGTAACTAATAGCTATTCTTAGCCATTTAATGCCAATCGGGTCCATAATATATCTTCTCATAGCCACAAGTAACGACATGATGCCAATTGCATCTTTAAGTACAGAGAGCAAAAAAAAATGTCAACAATATCCATTCATGGCCAGTTGAAGCCAGCCTACTCAGTAATTGATGGCAACAGTCATTTGTGGTCAATTTATTGCCAATATAGCCTACAAGCCCCCGTAATATATCATTGCCAAATGGCAATACTAGTTAGTATCTCTCTTCCTAACCGGATGTGCTCAATCTGCTCAGTAATAAAGCTCATTGTCTTTTATAGCCACAATGACAATATTCTACAAAAAAATATCTAATGAGTCACCAAGTAAAAAAAAAATTGTTTGATTTGTATTAAATCGCTAGACAAAACCTGACACGTGTAACGGCACACTGAATGTGGACTTCAAAAGACCAAGACCTGCGACCTCACGATCTTATCCCCCGAATGAAGAAATATTTAGTGGATCATCATTAATTCTACTGGGTCAGATCCATTCGCGACATTTCCGGCAAAAATGGTAAGTTGTCGACTCCCTGCCGCAAAGATCGCCTTCGACTACCGTCGGCCATTTATTTCACTCTGGAGTTGTCCGTATTAGTCTCTAAAGGCTCGTTCCGACGCACCCAGGCGGGACCGGTAGAGACGAGACCTGTTTTAAACCTCTTGCGACGGCCTTGCTCCGCAGCCGGTTCTACGCCGTCGCAAAAGGCTTAAAAACCGGTCCTGTCTCACTCTGTCGTACTCGGTTGCAAGTGTGTGAACACACCTTAAGTTATTTGCTTACTTGGTTTCAGCTTTAATCCAGACGCAGCCGATGCTACGAGCTACTGGGAGTCATCAAGCAGCGTGAAAAGCGAGAGTCACCGCGCCTTTTCTACTTCTGATTAGTTCCGGACGATAGAACACGTCCACAAACGTGACAAACACAATAATCGTGCACTTCGACGCCGTCTGATTGGTGTATCTGCTGGTAATGTCGGTGAATGCGTCTGGCCTTAATGTGAAACAGTTTGGATAATATTTTGGAGTTTTACGATCACCAAAGCACGATGTGCGGACTGGACGGAGAGCTTGTACTGCATTCATGTCCTTGCCACCGACTAATGAGGTCGGTGGCAAGGACAAGGATATCCCATTCATATTTTTGTTATTCTTGGAAAGCGAAAATAGAGTTGCAATGCGGGATATTAAATGTAGCAGGCGCAATACAAGTTGGGAAAACGTCAAGGTTTCTAAGCATTCATTTCTTCGGAAGTATCTGAGCAAAGTCACGTGAAAATAACTCAACATAACGGGTAAAGCAACGTACTACTCTTTTTACGCGAGAAATCAGTAGCGGTACTAAACTATTATATTTAAGATCGTGTCATTTGTAATACTAATTCATTTACATTTTTCGAGAATCGGGCAGAGGTCCTCCGCGTGGGCTCCGTGTCTGGCCGCCGCCATGTTGTTGCTTGTGTGAGCAAGCATGTGCAAGTGCAAGTGCAAGTCTGCCAAAGGAATCATCATGTGCACGCTCCGCGTGCTTGCACGCATGGAGCGCCAGTCGGGAACTCATGGGCAGCGCCAATTTGAGAGAGAAGAGGGGAATGGGCTACCGGCGCTTTTTCTTTTGCTGGTGTGTTAGAAACAGTGAAAGTCCCGGATGAGAGGCTTCACCGGTGTTGGGTGTATGCATTGCCCGAACTTCGTTCGCGCTTTTTTGTCTGTTTTAAATTCCCAAACGTTAGTAGAGCCACGGGCTTGGATGGCTACAGTCCCTCGGTCATCGGGACACCATTGCCCGGTTTTAGGTAGGGTTCCGTGTTTTGGATAAATCCGGAAAACTCCGGAAAACACACGCCGGTTAACTTTTTGTCAATTCGGATTTATCTGATAAACTCCGAATTTTCACGTGCCAATGCCTCCCCCCCCCCCCCCCCCCCCCCCAAAAAAAAAAAATGTATTTTACAATTACGTTTGATCAGCAGTTCAGCACACAGGGTCAATGCAGAGCCTTTTATACTCTGGGTCAATGGTCCCGGGAAAATGCCACCACGCTTATGTTTCGAATCTCAGATCATTGACAAAAAGGGTCTTACCGCTTATCTCGTCAAGGTTCAGAACGACCTGTCATTGTACTTTCGGGTCACGAAAAAAGCCTCTGTACTAGTTTCTATATTGGGGAATACTATTTTTGTTTTAAAAGGAAGGAGAGGTTGCGTTTTTGTAACAATGAAAGCTATGGACCATAGATATTGCATCAAATTCGGAAGCATCCTTTACCACTCCACCTCGCGCGGCTGCTGGGTAGCATGGAATAGAATGGAATGAAAACGTGCTTCCAAGCGACTACCTCCAGGAGTTTATTTTTAAGGTATCGACGTTTATCCAAGCCACACATGTGTGCAACTTTTGCCGTGGGACAAATTAGTATTGCCAATGGCACTGGCACCAACACCAAATCCAGCTGATGAAATATTAAGTTATATAAGCGCGTTTTATTTTTCTTTATCTAGCATCACCCGTATTTTTTTTTTTATTTTTTTTTTTTTTTTTTTTTTAGGAAACATTGCGAAATTAAGCTCCGAATTTTGGAGATTTTAGAATAAAAAAAAATAAACTTTTATAAAAAAAGAATAAACTCCGAAAAACAACCCCCCAAATTTGATGAAAAATAAACTCCGAAGACACGGAATCATGGTTATAGGGTGCACGAGTAACGACAGAAATAGTTGAATGCTCTCCGAGGACCTATGTAGCTTGCACGGAATCCGGCAAGGAGAGTGAGTGCGGCTGCAATGTCTTTAAAGGGATACTGAATCGAAATTTGGATTTCGCAAAATAAGGCCGCAGAAGCATTGAACGGGACTCTACGAACTCCAAAACATCACTCATACATAGATATCTCAAACGGATGGCCGTACTTTTGGAAAAGAAGGGCGCGATCAAGCGATGGCTAGGACGTTATTGTCCTCCTGGAACATTTGAGAAGGGGGGTAAGCTGCCTCGCTTCTCTCCTCCTCGCTTCGGTTCAGCAGCTTGAAGGGACATAGGAAAGAGGAGAAGGAATGAGAATCATGACGTGACTTGTCTTGTCGGCCTCGTCGACCGTGTTCAATCGCGCACTTCTTTTCCAAAAATAAGGCGATCCGTTAGAGATATTGCTGTATGAGTGATGTTTATGGGTTTTGCAGCGTCCCGCTTATCCGTCCAGCCTTGTTTTGTGAGCTCAGAATTTCGGTTCGGAGTCCCTTTAAGCTACATGGCTTTCCACATGACCCCGGCAGCAGTGGGTTGCGTCCGTAAACCGAAAAGACATTTCCACAACGCCATCCTCTCGACTGAGCTCGATTAACGTTTTGTCCACTATACCATCGATAAAATTGGGGTACGCTCGCAAATGTGTGCAAGTTTTCTCGGGATAATTGCTGTTTCCGCTTTAACTTTTTGCAACTGAAGCTATCTTAATATTGGTATTTTAAAGTGGTGACACTGACTCGATTTTATTATATACAACAGTGGTCCTCAAATGGGGGTCCGCGAAGCCCTGCCCCATCAGTCAAGCCCGGCAATAAAATTTTTTTTTTCTTTTTTC